CGGTCATCACAGCTCAGGAAAACATTATTGCTGTTGTTACTTTTAAAAGGTCAAAACGGCAGTTTAACATAGTGGTTTGAGAGTGTGAACTCTGGAGCCCAACAACCTGGATTCAAATATGACCTTGGGCGAGGTTTACTTAACTTTTCCCCAACTAGGTTACTCAGTTGCAAAATGTGGACAAAAGTACTTATTTCACAGGGTTATTAGGCAGATTAAATGAGGAAGATTACTATGCCTGGTTCATAATAAGTGTAATGTGTCAGCTATTATTGTTAAAATCAGGAAGGAAAGACAAAATTCAAGTGTGTGAGACTTGCAGCCTGAATTCTTTTTACGAGTATTATGCTTTTTACTAAAATTGACTTCAGTATTTTTACCAACTCCATTTTTTCAACGCTTCTCATTTACAGGTTAGCTGGTCGTAAGTGATCTAACTACACTGATAAAACTACATTTCTATCACTAGCATGACTCTTCTCCCATACTATCCATCTTAAATGTGTGAAAATATTACCTTCCCTATTGAACTTTAAGCAGCACGAAAGGGGTCAAAACTAGTTTTAAAAAAAAAAAAACTTGTACTTATGGTAGTATGTATAGTGTATGTTAATTAAACAAATCCATTTTAATAGGTCTATTTAACTTTGAGTCAAATGCATTAGCATCAGTAATCTAGAGCAGGGGTGGGGAACATCTGACCTGTGGGCCGTATGCAAAATCATTCGGTTTGGCCCTGCCAAGGCATTAGGGGTGAGTTAATTAAATGTTTGGCCAAATATAGCAGGCTAGATTTTAAATTGATAATTTTGTAGAGCCTGCAAATGATGTTAAAAACATCCAAATGCCTCTTGGAAGAAAAAAGGTTCCCCACCCCTGATTTAGAAGCTCATGTACTCCTGGTGCTTAAATGTTATTTTAATTCCAGTCCATAAATTGAGTGCTGCAATTTATATGAAGGACAGAATGTGCATAAGTGATGCTGACTTACATATGGGTGGATATACATATACATGGTACTTTTCAATGCTGCACTATATTCAATTTACTAAATGTCTGTCTGTTTTTCCGACCTATGAACCAATCATCAAGACCTTTTGAGTAGCAAATCTCCTGACAATAGATCTATGCTCATTATAACCTTAAAAATACTGATTACTTTTTCTCATGTAACTTCTTCCTTTTCCAAGAAGCCTACAAACAATTTCAGGAAGGACATCAAAAAGCAACTGTAAATTCTGCACTCAATAGTACGGTATCTGGCTTCTATTATGCATAGGAACCCTTGTATGCTCACAGCTGGAAGATTACACTAAAAGACGTGCCAGCTGTCTTCAAGTACTCCAAGGAGCCATGGAGAAGAGAGTACAGACGTAATTCTTCATGTTCCAGAGGCAGGATAAGTTGTAAGGAAACAGATTTCTGAGAGAGGAAAAGAACTCTCTGAATTAGAGTAATGTAAAATTGGAAAAGGGAATCATGTAAGGCAGTGAATACTATTATAACTAAAAATGTTTGAGTAGAACACTGACATTTAGGAACGATGTGGAAAAGGTAAGTATTTAATAAAGAGTTGGACTACATGATCGCAAACCTCTCCTTCAATTAAAATGTTCTTGAATTTTAGTAATACTTAATCCCAAGTGATGGTCTAATGGACAACACTAACATGCTATAGGCATATGCGTACCTGCCCGATGTTGCAGTGTATGTGGGCTACATGATTATGACCCCTTCACCTGGGGCAACTGACATTTTAGAAGTTGCAAGATCCTATCCTTATTGTTTGGAATTCTATCATTCCATGATCCCCAACCCAAGTGAAAGATGGGAAAATTATAAGAACATTAATTTTATTATTTTATAAACATTTCTAAAATTCAGAAAAAAATTTTTAAATGAGGAAATATGGGTAATCTATATATATAAAAGCCTACTATGCATATTGTCAACCAGGAAACCAGGAGTTCAATCGCTCGCTATGACGTACGCTGACTACCAGGGGACGGCGCGGAATGAAGGAAGGCCCCAGCCAGCAGCTGGCAGCCAGGAAAGGGAGGCCCCAGCCGGCAGCCAGAAGGCTCTGATTGGCCCTGATCGCCAGCCAGGCCTAGGGGCCCTACCCATGCACGCATTTCATGCATCGGCCTCCAGTTGAAGTATAATAACTTAACCACCACACCAGATCTACTATTATATTAAAACTACTTGGGTGGTATAAATAACATGGTTTAAAACAGTTATATTTAGCCCTACCTGGTTTGGCTCAGTAGAGAGAGCATTGAACTGCAGACTGAAGGGTCCTGGGTTCAATTGCAGTCAAGGGCACATGCCTGGAATTGTGGGCTCGATCCCCAGTAGGGGGCGAGCAGGGGGCAGCTGATCAATAATTCTCTCTTATCAATGTTTCTATCTCTCTCTCCCTCTTCCTTCCTCAATGAAATCAATTAAAAAAAATTTTTTTAAACAGTCATATTTACTCCATATACTGAGATACTAAGAAAAATATCATAAAAATAAAGTGAAAAAAAATTTTTAGGCAAAAAACATGGCCTGGCCAGTATGGCTCAGTTGGTTGGAGCATCATCCCATATATCAAAAGGAGGCAGGTTCTATTCCAGGTCAGGGCACATACCCAGGTTGAGGGTTCGATCCCCAGTCGGGGCATGCGTGGAAGGCAACTGATTGATGTTTCTTTCTCACATTGATGTCTGCTGTCTGTCTTTCTTTCTCCCCTGCCTTCCTTTTCTCTAAAATTATATTTTTAAGCAAAAAACATGAATTACCTAGAACATATATCCTATAAGTACATGAAGGTATATTATTATACTTTTATGCCTCTTTGCAATTTCCACAGTAAAACTTAAAAAGAGCACCCACATTTTAAAAAAATGAAATTCAACTCTCAAATCAATATAAACATGATAGTGGGGTCTTTTTAAGCTATAGGAAGAACAGAAATGGGTTAGTATCCACTTAACTATATCCAAATTCACTTGGACTCAAATCTGAAAATATTTAACTGCTATTTAATACCTCACATACAGAGGAAATTGCAGAGGAAAAGTTCTTAAGCACTATTTAGAAATAGTTTCATTACTAAAATTGAATAACACTTCATTAGAACTTGGATTTGAAAAATGTTACTACATAACAGGCTTGTTTGTTTTTTTAATCCAAGATGCACAGTAGCTTTATATCTGACTTCAGGTATTATAGTCTTAATCTACTATAAAATTAATTGTTCTTGATAGTTTAGAATTGCTTTTAAATAAAATTATTTTGTTTCCTCTGTATTTCTTAGAATTTCCAAAGCCTAGAAAAAGGTGTTTATCTAATTTCTGTTTAACAGCTAAAACTTCTACTAATAGTGAAGAAAGAAGAAACATTAGTGTAGTATTAGACTAGGAGTGAAGTGGTAAGATTCTAGTCCTGGCTCTGAACTTACTTTACACTGAACATGTCACTTAAGCCTTCCAGGTCATAGTACTCACCCATAAAATAATTCAAACCTGATGACTTCAGAGATTGCACCCAGTCTCTGAGGCTGACCTTCATAGTGCGTGCACACTTTCACTGTGATGGTACTCCATCCTTACACTAGTTATCGCACACAATACTACGGATGAACCCACATAAAATGTGCAAGGCCAGGAATGTTTAAGCAAATGTGATTTTTTAAATACACTGTACTGAAATATGGGTTAGATATCAAGGGCATTTATTTTCTTGTCTAGAATGCATTGACACTATATGCTGCAAATAAAGCTCTGAAGTTATAAAACACTTACAAATCAACCAACACAACTAATCCTGCTGACTTTTGAACAGAAAGGAAAATCTCTGAGTAATAATTTCTTGACACCCAATACCTGTGGCACCTATACACCCATGGAAACTGTGTTACTTTTATGGCATAATGACACCAAGAGCATGAAATAGAATGTACTCTTGGTTAAATCAGGGCAGGTGCAAATTAAGCACTTGAGAAAACGACCTTCCTAGTTAGTAATAAACTAATGAGATTTCGTTAAAAGTGTAAATGTTTATGTCTAAATGTTTATATTGCATATAGAAAACACAAAGTTAATTCCCTAACCTCTAGCACCACTTAACTTCCATAAATGGTGTTGATGTGTTGCTGGTATTTCAAAAGCCCCACTTTATGAAGTCTAAAACTGAGCTAATCCAAATGAAAATATAGACTTCTTTTTTAAGATGGAGTGATTAATAGATGTTAGTTCATAACTATGAAATCAATAAAAGTAAACAAGGACCCTCCAAATTTTAGTAACAAATGGGCCATGTAGTACAAATGTGATATAATGAAAAAACAAGCTTTCAGAAATATCAACACTAAGAAGTAGAGCTATTGATACATCAGTTAATTGCAAAAAGACTGCCAAGAGAATGTGAGCTATCTAAATAAAATTATAGTGTCAGTATGTTGGAGAAAGGTATCCAGGGTACCAGACATGAAAAGGAATATAGCCCTAAAAAATGCATACACATAAGCAAGTAATTGGGGGAAAGGAATAGAAGAAAGGAAACACCTATGTTTAATTTATAGCTCAAAGAATTCAAAGATGATATTAATAGTAAAAATCTACAAAGTGACTTTGAACCAGAGGGTTTAGGTTTCTTTAAAGAGCCTACGACAGCCCAGCCGGTATGGCTCAGTGGTTGAGTGTCGACCTATGAACCAGGAGGTCAAGGTTCGATTCCCGGTCAGGACACATGCCGGGGTTGCGGGCTCCATCCCCAGTGTGGGGCGTGCAGGAGGCAGCCGATCCATGATTCTCTCTCATCATTGATGTTTCTCTCTCCACCTCTCCCTTCCTCTCTGACATCAATAAAATATATTAAAAAAAAAAAAAAGCCTACGACAGTGTATATGTGAGAAAACTGAATGGAGATGTAAGCTAGTATTGTGGTATTGTGATTTAACCACAAATGCCTTCCTATGTAAATATTCCAATGAGTACTGTTAGTACACATACCTCGGAGAATTCTTTCCTCATGGCAACGAAGAAAGTCCCAGATTCTAACAGTGCCGTCATCAGAGCATGTAGCAAATTTATTATCCGTGGGTGAGAAACTGTTACATGAAGACACACAGCAGGGGAAAGAAGTCAGCATTTAACAGATTATCTGTGCTTCTCAGAAAGGGAAAAATAAAAACACTGTGCTGCCTTATAAATAGAAGAGGGAAGTATCCACCCGTGAAGATGCAACATAAAGAGAATGTTGTCAGCTAACCATGGCATCTCATCAAAAGAATTTAATACAGTAGTTGCTTCTTAATTTCCAATCATTAATATTCAGAGCACTTTACAAGTGTATTACTACTACTGCTATTCATTCACACTTCCCACAATACAGGATTTCCTGTTGTACCAACAGAAAACATGGAGCTAATTTAAGTGTAGAAACTAATTGAATCCCATTTTTGCAATATTCCTGTAAACAATCTTTTAAATCACGAAAGAATACTGCTCAAAAAATTAGCATCAGCTTCCACCTCAGACACTTCATGAAATGATAAACTGAAAAAAGCTGGACAGGATTTTTAAAGACTGGTGCTAAACATTCCTACATATGATGTTTCCGATTTATTTAAAAAGTCTACGGAAAACTTTCCCATCTCCTTTCTGGCAAGCTATCTTGTGAATATTGCACCTTTTGACAAAAAAGTTAGCATAGGGACATTCAGACTTGTGTGTAAAGCCCAAGAATCTGCTGCAAAGGAGAGAGCCATTTTTCCCTCCGTCGTGGAAGATCCTCAAGTTTCTAACTTAACTCTAAGAACTCCCTTGAACTTTTTAATCCGATGACTAAGTGACCAACTGTGCAAACTCAATGTATGGGCAGGACACCACAGCAAAGTCATCGCAGAGGCATGTTTATCCACCAAGTTTTGTTCAGATTCTGAAAGTAGAAACAGTGACTGCAGTGGATGATGTTTCTATAAAGATGTCAACCTCTCGCCACACGGGTGGCACAGCTACGGAGAATGCTGCTCAGCTTTATTCTGAGGATGCAGCAACTCTTCAGGCTGGTTTGTGAAGCTTTCTTTTTCCAGTTTTACTGCACATATCTCATCGATATGCACAAATACATACAGCTCACTGAAAATATTGTAAACTGCACTTATTACACATTTGCTCTGTCGGTACCAGCAGTGAACTGGAAGAAAAGTCCTAGAGTCTTCTTACCAATGACCTGCTCATAGTTTCAAAGCTTGAAGAACCCGTTCATTAATCCATTAATGATTGCCACATCCAGAGCTACTTGTGAGAGTTCTAGACCTATGGTACTTTCCTTTGAAGTCATGGCATAACCAAGCCAACCAGGTCTTCACTTAAGCCTGTTTTCTTGTATTTTGTGTGAACTCTGAAAGTGTTTCTGTAGGCTTTAGATTTTATTCAGTTGCATAATTAAAGACTGAGTTCTTTATTTGGAATGAAATATTCTTGTCTTACACAGTAAGTAATAAAAAGAAGTAACGTATACACATTATTAACCATAAATGAAAAGAGAAAAAACCAGTGCAAAATGTGGCAGACAATACATCTCTAACATATTGTAAAGGCAGATACCAGGACAAAACTACTTCAGAAAGGCGCCAGCAAAATGGTGAATGTGTGAAAACAAAGAAAAATATTGTGTTCATAGGGTGCAGAGAATTTCCCAGAATCTGACAGAGCCCATGCATCTCTGCATCCAGAATACACTTAGAGAATAATTTAACCATGACAATAGGGACTACAGAAAATGGTATATTGTGTATAAACCTGGCCTCTCTAATCGCCTCCTTATGTGCCTGGAACATCTTGACGTTGTTCATGTTCGATTGCCAATATTTCACATATCCTCCGTGGTCTGCTGTCAACATCCACATGTCATTATGTGACCAAGTCATGGCCCTCACTGGGCTATCGTGAGCCTATGAAAACAAAACATTTGTAAACATTACATACAAGATGAAAGGCTTCACAGGAGCATTTATTAACTCACAATGATTTGCCTAAGTGTAAGTTTAAAATGCCAATAAATTTACTATATCTCAAGTTCTTTACAGTACCACAGAATGATGCTGCCATCTGATGATCACTGTTACCTGTAGTATTGTTTCAAAATTGAAAGTGAGTCCATTCCACAAGGTGAACTCTCCACTAGAAGCTCCAGTGACCAACCGTCTTCCCTCTGGAGTCCACTAGGGATGGAAAAAAAGACAGGTTATACAAAAGGCCACAAACCCTCAACCTTAATTAATTTTTAAAACACTAAGAAAGTCTTTATTTACAAAATGTATTTTGTAATAATCAATATTAAGTAGATGATACCGACTTTCACTTAAGTGTAGCTCAGATTTATAAGCAAGTATTTTGTCAGAAAAAAAAACTTTATTAACACAGTGCAGGAAAAGCTCTAGCACTTTAGCTCATTAACGGAATTAAAAATAGTTAAATACATTATAAGCAAGCACCTTGCTAAGCTACACAGGCCTAAGCACTCTAAGGAGCATTTCAAAACAAAATGTGCATAGACTTCATTTTCCTATTGGCAGGCTGACATAAATAAGATGGTCAATCACCAGAAAAACTCAAAGCCTGAATGAAGGATTTCAACTACTAAACCAATTCAGACAGAAAAGTTACCATGGTTTTATGGAAGAAAAAAAAATTAACAATAAGTACCAATTTAAGGACATCAAAGCTATCAAATTTTTACTGGCAAATAAATGTACTAACAAAACAAAAACAAAAAAGCTTTTTAAAGCTCTCCTTCATTCACAGTACCATGCAGTAACAAGTCTTATGCTGATCTCTCAAAAAAAAAAAAGTAGTACAGCAGATTTCATGACAAACACTACACCAATATTTTAATGCTACAATTTTCCTTCTGTAAAAAAATCTGGGATGTTTATAAACTCAAAAAACATATTTTTGCAACTCTGGCTGCTGTGACTCAGTTGGTTAGAGCATCATCCAGTACACCAAAAGATAGTGTGTTTGCTTTTCAGTCATGGCACAAACCCAGGTTTTAGATTCGATCCCCGGTTGGGGTGCTTGTGGGAGGCAACCCATCTAAGTTCCTCTCTCACACTCATGTTCTTATGTTCTCTCTCTCTCTGTTTTCCTCCCTCCCTTCCTCCCTCCCTCTCTTCCTCTCTCCTTCCCCAACCCCTTCTTCTTTCTGTTAAATCAATAAAAATATACCATTAGATGAGAAATAAATATATATTCTTTAAAAACACGTATTTTTTTTTATTTTCAAGTTTCTATGATAGATTACACAACTCATTTTCCTTAGAAGATGCAAATACACAACTGTCAATATAACAATCCTATTTTCCAAAATAAAAACTGTGACACAGAGTTAAAAAATACAAATTGCTTATAGGAATAGCAGGATGAGATACATAAAATGAAGACTATTCGGTAAATTATAAGACATATATGACAATCTGGCTTTTCATTGCTTACCTGCAGATTATGATTTGAATTATTATGAATAAAATCCTCCTACTTTCCTAGTTTCTGTTATCTGCTATGGATCCCAACCCAGTAAATACTACAGGCAACCCAACTGTAGACACAAGACCCACAGTTTATATGTCTTAATACCTTGTAATCTGGACTATGCCTCTATGTGCAAATTTCTCCTAGGATCCCATAGATCCCAAAATGAGAAATTTACCATGTTACAAGATACAGGATAGAGTATGCTCAGATTCTATTCATTTCAAAAAGGTTTTCAGTATTATGCTAACAGGATATTAAAATAGCTGCAAACAAAATCATCCTACACACTAGTTGGCTCTACTAACACAAAAACCATTGAAATAAGGTCTTCTTTACAGATGTATCTACTGATATATGCCTCTGAAGCAAAAAGGAGGCCTTATAGTGACTGTAACATTTTTATGGAGCTCAAACCAGCATCTCTTCCAGTCCCTCTCAGGTCTCCATACATCTCACCTCCCTAATATCAGAGGACTTACTGATTTTGCTCATTTGCCACATATTTGCTATGGTTGTCTTTTCCCTGTCCTAGTTTTCTGTTTGTTTGTTTGTTTTTGGTGTGTTTTTTTTCCAATTCTTACTTGCTCAACTTTGACTACTAACTAGCTTGGGAGACAGAAATGGGAAGACTTTTTTTTTAATACAAAATGCTTCAAATGTCAGTATTTTGAATCATGTCAATGTACCATTTGTTTTAAAACTACACTTTAAAAATTTCAGTAAAAATGTATTGAATACCTACTATGTATCTTCGGAACTGACAATTAAGGTCTACCATTTGTCTTCAGCTCTTCTCAAGTATTTTGCTTCCTAGTAACACCTAAACGTTTTCATTCACCTTGAGATGCTGCTTTCTAAATTCTAAACAACAAAAGCATTCCTATTCAAGAGCAATTCCTATTCAAAAGGTCTCCAAGTCTGAGACCTACTGTAATATATATTCATGGCCAGCTCAAAAAAGAATTCTATGGAAATTGCAATAAGAAGAAAATAATCCAAAAGTAATACCTTACTAAATGTGGATATAGTAGGTAATTGGGTATTCCAAAATAAAATGACTAGCAATACACTGATTTTTATCCCAGGTACACATTTAAAACAGTGTTTAATTTTCTTTGTTCTATTATATATATTTACAGACTAACTAAGGACCAACTTTGCCAAAAATATCCAAGAGAATACTTACCCTAACAACAAATACTGGACACTTTACTTTATTGGTTGATGTTCTAACAAATTTTGTTGTTACTGCATTCATAGGATTATTCAACATCCCTATAGGTGGGACCAGCTATAAAAAAAAATACATATTGGGTTTTAAGAGCTCCTGATGATGCACAGGACATAAGCCAAGGACATGCAAAGTTACTATTTCAATATTTAAAGACAAATTCAGGAATATAAAGGACTTTCAAAAATACTGTAATAATACAGCGGTTTTCAACCTGTGGGTCTCGACCCCTTTGGCAGTCGAACGACCCTTTCACAGGGGTCGCCTAAGACCTTCCTGCATATCAGATATTTACATTACGATTCATAACAGTAGCAACATTAGAGTTATGAAGTAGCAACGAAAATAATTTTATGGTTGGGTCACAACATGAGGAACTGTATTTAAAGGGCCAGAAGGTTGAGAACCACTGTAATAATAGATTAAATCCTATATAATAAAAGCCTAATATGGAAATTGTCCCCTCGGGAGTTCGACCAACTGGGAGTTTGACTGCTTGCTATGACGTGAGCTGACCACCAGGTGGCGGCATGGAACAAAGGAAGGCCCCGGCCGGCAGCTGGCAGCTGGGGGAAGGAAGGCCCCATCAGCCCTGATTGCCGGCCAGGCCTAGGGACCCTACCCGTGCACTAATTTCGTGCACCGGGCCTCTAGTTAATCTTTATTAATTGAGGAAAACTGAGATACAGAAAAGTTAAATGTCAATTATTACTAGACAAGCAACAAAATCAAGCACCAGATTCCCCCAATTCCTTTTCAAAGTCAACAATCAGCCAAATTTAAAATTAACTTTCCTATTACACAGATTTTGAGACAGTGTAATCTTTTGCTGAACACTGCTTTAAGCCCCAAATCAAAAGTTCACCCTTCATCAGATTAAAAGAAAAATTTAAGTTGAGATGAGAAAAGTCCATGTTTGAATTTGAGATCACATGTTTTCAGATTCACATATCTAAGCAAAGAGTTTTATATTAAGCAGTATAGCATATCTTATACTTACATCATTATAATAACCTGCGTCAGGCTGAATTGCCCTCATATCTCTCTGGTCTCTTTGCCATATTCTATTCTGTTAAAAAGAGATTAATTAATTAATCAATTGCTATATGAGCTCATTGTACTCAATATGAAACTAACAAAATGTAAGCTATTATTAAATGGGAGGCAAACAGGATTAAAATTTTTTCATGTTCTAAAACATATATAATAGTTGATATCTTATCCTACTGACATTGATTAGAATTTCTTCCTCTCCTTACTCACATTATCCCCAACCAATCATCCAAGATTCTCTTAACCCCAAGACATTCTCATTGACCATACACACCTTAATAGCAGGGGGTGGAAGAGTGAGTAGAGATACATTCACAATTCCTTCAAAATGCTCAGCACAAAAACAATTCCTCATATCTTGACCTTAATTTTCTTAATTCCTCTCTTCCTCTTAAACTCCCCTAGTCTAGTTTTCCAAATGAAACCCATGGAAAAAACTAAATCTGTCTTTATCTCTGAATGAATCTTTTTCTCCTATGTGCCTACAACATATTAATTCCTAAGTTGGAAATCTTTTAACATTTCATGTATTCTGTGGGTTTATCAAGTATTTCAATGCTGGCCTAGGGATTAGAGTATCCTCTTCAGAGATTTGTTGTGAACCTTTAGAACAAAACCTATTTCTAACGTTAATAATTTTTGTGAAGATAATTAATGTAGCTATTATTTTTTAAATACTAGTGACTGGCTGCACCTAAAATCCCAGTACTTTAAGCAATACAACTATAATTATTACCATTTTATTATTTTAAAAATCTTTCTCCTTTGTAAAAAAACAAAGTTTGGTCACATGAAGCACATGATCTGGACTTACCTCCAAATACTTAATTACAGACGGATTATAGTCTATCGTTTTTCGGTTTACTGCTTTTCTCATTCGTTTTCCATCAAAGGTAAGCTGCTGCATTGCTTGCTGCTGTGCAAAATCAGGTCGCTTATAAAACAGTTGTCGAGGTGCCTGATGTTGGAACCTTGGCATATGGAAAAAACGAGGAGGAGAACCAATTTCTGTAGCCATGGTGATGTTTTCGTTCTAGGACACTGGGGTATGGAAAAAGTACTTTCACTACAAATATCAGCACTGAAAACATTTTCAAATGAACATTTTTACACTTATCTTCCTTTTTCTAATATGTTTCATTTGTAGCTTTTAGTCAACCCATTTACAAAACGAACTATTAGATTTAATGGCAGAACCCAGTTGCACATTTGAAAAGGGCCAATTCATAGCATAAGTGTTAATATTAAGCACTGGCTGTAAAATTCAGCCTGGTGGAAGGAAAACCACAATTGATAACAGCCTGGGTTGAGTTAGAGTGGTTGTGTGCTATGCGTATGCGGGGTGGGCAAATGGGGGGAGGGGGGCAGAATGGGAGGATGGGAGAATGCTTTCCCTGAAAGTAGCCAGAAGTGACCTCTGAAAATGGTTTGCTAATCACTTCATCCAGAAAACCCCACAAAATCACTGAGAACTGTTCACATCTTTATATATATAATTGGTTTCAGAGAGGAAGGGAGAGGGAGAGAGAGATAGAAACATCAATGAGAGAGATCATTGATCAGCTGCCTCCTGGACACCTCCCCTGGGGTTCGAGCCCACAACCCAGACATGTGCCCTAACCGGGAATGGAAACCTGACCTCCTGGTTCATAGGTTGACGTTCAACCATTGAGTCACACCAGCCGGCGAAAACTGTTCAAATTTTTTAAATGAAGTTTTCATTAGATGTCTGATGGTATACCAAATCATTTTAAGTTTATCATAAGACCCCATTTTATCACTAAAAAATCTTAAGGGCTGACTTTTGTCCTTTTAAATTTCCTAAGAATAGTGTAGAAGGAGGAATCAACTATCCTATTTCATATGACTACTACAAGTACATACATCTAATTTCAGGCTCCAAGGACCTACCACAGAAATTCTCAGTATGTGCATTTACTTATTTATATAAGCAGCATTAAGCTAACATCTGAATAGAAAAACTGTTAAGAGCTTATAGCAGCAGTTCTCAACCTGTGGGTCGCCACCCCTTTGGGGGTCGAACAACCCTTTCACAGGGGTCGCCTAAGACCATCGGAAAACACATATATAATTACATATTGTTTTTGTGATTAATCACTAGGCTTTAATTATGTTCAATTTGTAACAATGAAAATACATCCTGCATATCAGATATTTACATTACGATTCATAACAGTAGCAACATTACAGTTACGAAGTATCAACGAAAATAATTTTATGGTTGGGGGTCACCACAACATGAGGAACTATATTAAAGGGTCGTGGCATTAGGAAGGTTGAGAACCACTGGCTTATAGTTTCAACTTTAACGCTCTCCAGTTAAACTTACATTCCAATAATATCAATGATTTAAAAACACATTCTTTAAATGTTTTTATTAATTTTAGAGAGAGAGGAGGGAAGGGGGGGGGGGAGAGAGAAACACCCATTAGCTGCCTCTTGCTTGCCCCACACCAAGGATGGAGCCCACAACCCAGGCATGTGCCCTGACCAGGAATTGGAAGTCGGCGAACTTTTGGTGTATGGGACACCCCTCAACCAACTGAGCCACCAGGGCTAAAAACACATTTTAAGTGTATTTTTTAAATTAGAGCATGAAAAACACATAAAGAATGTTGGGGGGGAGAGGGGGGAAGGGATGGGAGAGTGCTGTCCCTGAAAGTGGCCAGAGGTGACCTCTGAAAATGGTTTGCTAATCACTTGATCCAGAAAACTCCACAAAACCATGCGAATCAAAAGGTTCAAATCTTCATGTTCACTTTAAAAGCACTCTGGTGAGCCTAGCCAGTGTGTCTCAATGGTTGAGTATCCACCTATGAACCAGAAGGTCACGGTCTGATTCCCAGTCAGGGCAAATGCCTGGATTGTGGGCTTGATCCCCAGTGGGGGGCGTGCAGGAGGCAGCTGATCTATGATTCTCTCTCACCATTAATGTTTCTATCTCTCTTTCTTTCACCTTTCCTCTCTGAAATCAATAAAAATATTTCACATCCACAGAATTCAGAAAACAAAAAGCACTCGTGAAACTGCCCAAGCCATCAAAGAGTGTGCATATTGGAAAAGCCACCAAGTATCTGAAAGATGTCACTTTACAGAAGCAATGTGTGCCATTCCGTTGTTACAATGGTGGGGGTTGGTAGGTGTGCACAGGCCAAACAATGGGCCAAAAAGACTAAATTTTTGCTGGACATTCTTAAAAATGCAGAAAATAAAGCTGAATTTAAGGGTTTAGATGTAGATTCTCTGGTCATTGAGCACATCCAGGTGAACTAAGCCCCCAAGACTTGGGGTAGAATTTACAGAGCTCATGGGAAGATTACCACATACATGAGCTCCCTGCCACACTGAGAGGATCCCTACTGAAAAAGAGCAGGTGATTTCCTAAACCAGAAGAAGAGGTTGTACAGAAGAAAACGATAAACCAGAGGAAACTGAAGAAACAAAAACTTATGGCCCAGGAGTAAATTCAACATAATGTAAATACTAAAAAAAAAACAGGAAAAAGTTCACCTGAAATCGGTCTCTGCATAGGATGATGGAAATACTTCAAAAGAATTTTCAATAGAATTTAATGGTTAATTTCTCAATATAAAAATATTCTATACAAGAGTGAGCAAGTATTGACAGATTATTGAGTCGCCAATGATTTTAGAAGGTTGGTTATTTGTCATTTTTAAAGCTTAGGTGCTTTTTAAGGTAATATGGATTATTCAATTCTGGATTTCACATCCACAGAATTCAGAAAATAACTCCATGATGATAACGCTTCTAATCAGTAGCATCAAAACACTGACTATTTGGAGTGTTTACAGTAGCATATGGTTAATAAATTCCACCTCTACATATTTAAAAAAATGTTAGAAGCACTTCCACATTTTGTTTTAAAAACAGGAAAGGACCTAAAAATTTATGATTTCCTTGGTATGAAAATATTCTTAGTACTACCTACTTCCTTCATCCTTGTTACTTCAGTCTCTCCTGAAACCATCCTATATAATAAAAGGCCAATATGCAAATTGACCGAACAGCAAAACAACCGGTCGCTATGATGCGCTCTGACCACCAGGGGACAGATGCTCAACGCAGGAGCTGCCCCCTCGTGGTCACTGCACTCCCACAGGGGGAGTGCCGCTCAGCCAGAAGCTCTGAGCCAGGCTCAGGGCTGGCAAGCAGAGCAGCGGTGGCGGGAGCCTCTCCCGCCTCCGTGGCAGCACTAAGGATGTCCAACTGATGGCTTAGGTCCGCGTGGGACATCAGTCGGACATCCCCTGAGGGCTCCCAGACTTCAAGAGGGCGCAGGCCAGGCTGAGAGACGCCTCCCATCCTGAGTGCATGAATTTCATGCACTGGGCCTCTAGTGTGTAATAAGAGAATAAATATTCTGTCTAATCTCTTAGGGCTGTATGTGATTTGAATTGGAACATAAGAAGTGAACTAAGCATTTGACTCAGTGAGGTTGGTGAAGCAATTTGTTGACTCAGCTATCCCATAAATTCAACTAAGTTTCAGCATCCAAATTCAACTAATGGCTTCAATTCAGATGTCATCACCAGTAATTCTAAAAGGATGTATGAAAGGTAATTTTTTTTGAAAGGTCATTTTTAAAACACCTTCCTTTCCACTTTATAATCATCAAATTTCTAATTTTATTAGAATAAAATTATCCTAATATTCTAGTTCCTATTACTAACATCAAATAAGAATAAAGATATTTACACTCATCAAAGGAGGCTCTAAGGTTATTCAGCCAAAAAAGGAATAAAATAGTGACAAATGCTACAACATGGATGAACCTCTGAAAGAAGTCAGATTTAAAAAGTCACATATTGTGTTGCCCTGGCTGGTTTGCTCAGTGGATAGAGCGTTGGCCTGCGGACTGAAGGGTCCCAGGTTCGATTCTGGTCAAGGGCATGTACCTTGGTTGCGGGCACATCCCCAGTGGGAGGTGTGCAGGAGGCAGCTGATCGGTGTTTCTCTCTCATCGATGTTTCTAACTCTCTATCCCTCTCCCTTCCTCTCTGTAAAAACTCAATAAAATATATTTTTTTTAAATAAATAAATAAAAAGTCACATATTGTGTCCTAGCCAGTTTGGCTCAGTGGAGAGACCATCAGCCTACGGACTGAAGGGTCCCAGGTTCAATTCCGGTCAAGGGCACATGACCAGGTTGAGGGCTTGATCCCCAGTAGGGGGAGTGCAGGAGGCAGCCGATCAATGATTCTCACTCATCATTGATGTTTCTATCTCTCTCTCTCCTCTCCCTTCCTCTCTGAAACCAATAAAAATGTATTTTTGGGGGGGGGGGGGAGGTCACACATTGTATGATTCCATTTATATGAAAAATCCAGAACATGCTAACACAGAAACATAAAACAGATTAGTGGTTGCCAGAGCCGGAGAAAGGGAGGAAAGAACAATGAATGGATGCTGAATGAGAATGAGGTTGCCTATGAGGATGGTGAAAATGTTTTGGAACTAGACAGAGGTCGTGGCTGGAAAACACTGCAAATGTACTAAGTGGCGCTGAGTCAGACACTTTAAAATGGTTAAAACAGTAAATTTTATGTTATGTGACTTTTCCCTCAGTTGAAGAATTTAATGTATTGGGGGAGAAATCAGATGGTGAGTAGATGAAACATTAACAGAAAGTTGATGGTGTTCAGGCTGGATACAAAGTGCTACACAAGAGCCAAATCAAGGATTTACTATACAAATATGGGGGAAATGACTGAAGTCAAATGCAAAACAATCAATATATGTTGTTACTCATACTTTTGAATAATTCGTATGTTAAAAGAGAGAAAAAAATATACTCCTTCATTTTAAACCTTATAGAGGATAGGGGGAAATATCTTCCCATTTACAAATTTGTTGAGTAAAATTTGTTCTAAAAAAAACTTCAAATTTTCCTTGAATGGTGAAGTTTTATTTGTGTTCCAAATATAAAGGCTCAACATGAAGAAAAGGTGAAAACAGAAAGTACAACTATATTCTAAATCAAGACCTGGCCCTAAATAGTC